TTGGCCAGCTGTCCTCTCAGCCAAACCACTTTCATGTTATTAAATTAGCTTCTGGATGCTAACACGCTGCTTCAATCCTCACTGGGTCCACTCCCTATTGGTCTGCTGTTGTGTGATGCAGACATGAAATCTATTCTATTACTTTTCAGTTTTTATTTTTCAAAACAGACTTTTGCTTTGGGTGCTCAACCTAACTTTTGTTTGTATCAACTAGGGATGTGTATAGGTGAAATTATTGCGATACGATACATATCACGATACAGGGGAGATGATACAATATTCCACGATATATTGCGATACATTCAGGCAGATGATATTAGCGATTATTTTAGACTGAATTTATTATAGGAGAACTCAGTAAACAGTCTAAACTGATACTTAATATGCTTAACATGAGATATCTGAACCATAACAGAGGGATTTACACTCATTGCACACTGCTGCCAACTAGCGGTCGGCGTTTGAATTGCACTAAAAGAAAAGAAAATACACAAATGTTTGCATGTAAATTCTTCCAATGATTTGATACACAGCTTTTAAATATCGATATATTATTGCAGGATAAAATATTGCGATATATAGCGATATTGATATTTTTGATACATGCCTTAAATAGTGATATAATATCGCTGAAAAAAATTCACGATATATCGCCATATCGATATTTTCTTACGTCTCTAGTATCAACCATGTGAGCAAGGACCTAAAACAGAATGCAGCATCGCCGACTATGAAGTTGTGTTAGATGGTGAAGTCCTTATATTCTGAGTATTTGTATTGAAATAAAAAGATTTGTATACCGCTGTCATGAATTATGTAATTAATTAGGTTTAATTCTTCCATTGGGCTCATTATAGTGGGATGCAAAAGTCTGGGCAACCTTGTTAATCTTCATGGTTTTCTTTTAGAAATCGAGAGTTGTTTTGAGACCCTCTTGTTGCTACTCTTCAGAGAATATTCAAAGAGAAAGGAAACCTACAATTCCCCCTTAAATGCACTTTCCCACATTTAGATTCACCTGTGTATGGAGGTCAAGGGTCACTGAGCTTACCAAACCAATTTTGAGTTACAAAAATTAGTTCTAAAGGTTTCGGAATCAATAAAATGCACCAGCCGAATTTTGTTTAAACAGTTATTACACACTTTCTGTAAATCCTATGAACTTCGTTTTACTTCACAAATATCACTGTGTGTCTCCTGTATGATATTTTGAACAGAATTTTTTAAAATCATAATAACCAACAATTTAAACAGGAAAACCATGAAGATTAACAAGGCTGCCCAAACGTTCACATCCCACCATATATTGGCTTCAGTCAAAGAAAACCGGCCTCGCTGCAGTAAGCAACACGTTGCAGGACCCTAACTAAACTAAAGTGCCCAAAATAGTTTGGGGCACCATTTGTTAAAACACCATCTATCGCCTGCTGCCTTCTCTAGTTTCATAAATTAGTTTAAACTTCACCAAATGGGACGCAGATCCTAAGCAACTATTTCTGCTGACTTTTCTATTTGTAAGAAGTTTAAATAAAAACACTTTCTGCTTGACTTTAAGCCACGTCTTGGCTATGACAGCTAAGAAAATACAATCTTTTAGGAACTTGAGTTACTAGAAATTGTTTTTATCTTCCAGTTGGTTTCATCATATATATTTATCCTTTTTGTTGTTTTTATTTAGATTTCAGAGATTGATTCAGAATTTCTCACCCCTTCCCTCTCTTTCATCCTAACCATTCCCACTCTCCTTCGTCTTGCTCCTCTCTTTTTCCTGGCAGAGCTGACCGTGGTGTTACCAACTGTCTGTGAAGTGTCCTGGATGTGTGTGTGTGCGTGTGTGTGTGTGTGTGTGCGCGCGCGAGAGAGAAAGAGTGTTTAAGGCAGGCTGTCTAGGCTGAACTGGGAATGGGGCTCAGATGGAGGAAGACGGTGAAACAAAGACGGCTGAGAACAAAGCTGAGAATTACAAGAAGAGAAGGTTGATTGAAAAATGCTGAATGATACTGGAGGGGTGGTGTGAGCGTGTGTTTATACAGCAACAGTACAAACGCCAGCTGTAGGAGTCCCTGTCAGCGTTAGAGGAGGACCAGCTGAAAGAGAATACACAATAGCACACAGCTGTATTTGGAGGATGTGCTCATAGTGGTTTTGTTCTTTCTGTGTGGAGTGGTTTTCTTCTATAGATGAATTGAAATCCCTTAAACATACACACGATATACTGTATTTGTCCTCTTGTGGGTTTAATCAAATCAAATCAAATCAAGGATACTTTATTAATCCCAGAGGGAAATTAGAGTTTCAGTACACACAATTCAGAGATCAGACATACATACATATATTCACTTGTAAGTCGCTTTGGACAAAAGCCTCTGCTAAATGCATAAACATAAACATAAACATACATATGGAGATACATATTTACCCATATATAGACATACTAATCAGTCCTTAGTCAGCAGCTCCTGAGCAGCAACATCAAACCCCCCATCCCTACATGATTATGTTATCTACCTCTGGCTATAAATCCTTGTATTTGTGTATATATTTGTGTGAGAGCCTCAAATGCTCTTCCAGAACATTTTTGGCAGAACATTCTCAGCTTGCATACATTTCCCCGGAGGAGATGGGATCTTTAGTGACTTGGTTGTATGTTTATCTATGTGGTTTTCTCTGTGTGTACGTGGAAGCACATACAGTTTAGGATTTGGGTTCACGTCCTGATTACGACCATGTGCAAAGCTGACACACGCCACGTGACGCTGCCCTATACCCTGTTAGGTGATGCCCTGTTATTTTCCACTTACGATAGTTGCTTTTTTTGTGTAGTTTTCTTTAGAGTTTTACTCCTATTATGTACACAGAGGAAAACATCTCCAGATTTAGCTTCCACCTAGTTCCATGGAGCCGACTGACCCTAGAGGACCTTTGTGTTTGAGACCTTAAGTACAATACTCGCGGTCTGTGTTATATTAAACTGCGGTTGGTTCATTTACTCCTGTTGACCTACAAAATGGAGATTCTTTTCATCTAATGTTTCTATTATTTCTCAGTTTTCCAAACAGGATATTCTCTTAATCCTTAAAACTATTGTTGATCATGCAACACTTTGAATTGGCCTGACTCTCATCTTTTATCCCTTTAATCTTTTATTTTCTTTGATATCAACATGATATGACTTGCGGTATTTTCACTAAAGTGCATATTGTACAAAGTAGGTGCTGGAGGGTAAACGGCATCTCAGGGAATGCTGGAATGATTAGGTTTTGTTTCCTTTTCTGCAATAACTGACCTTTTTTCAATTGAATTCAATTGAGTATACTTATGTAGCCCCAAGGTTACAACAAGTCACCTCAAAGCGCTGTACACAAAGCTACTAGTTCAATTGACTTTTTTTTTCATCCCATTGTCTGGATCTTTGACCAGTGTTGATCTGTGCAGCCTGTTGTATGTTTATGTGTTTATGTTATCTATCTATCTATCTATCTATCTATCTATCTATCTATCTATCTATCTATCTATCTATCTATCTATCTATCTATCATCTATCTATCTATCTATCTATCTATCTATCTATCTATCTATCTATCTATCTATCTATCTATCTATCTATCATCTATCATCTATCATCTATCTATCTATCTATCTATCTATCTATCTATCTATCTATCTATCTATCTATCTATCTATCTATCTATCTATCTATCTATCTGAGAGAGAGAGTTACTCAAATATAGATATAGAGAAACATATTTACCCATATATAGACGTTTTAGCATAACATTGATTGTGAAAGACAACTGAAAACTCACTGTGTGCAATATAAATTAAAGCTGCTTTCCAGAGTTTTGTTTTATGAAACCACAACATGACATGAGAACAATACTCGTAAAGCAACATGTTTTAGCTCCGTTATTCGGCTAAGAAGCACATTTATAAACAGAAACGTGAAGTTGAGATCTTAAACAGAGGAATAGACTTTTTGTGTGATATGCTTGTCAGCCACTAGATGGTGCCATCAGATAAGAGAAATACTCCGTAAAGAAGCTTTAAATAAGTCAATAAATCTCTTAATATTTATTGAACTTCAAATATAAAACAAAGTGAAAAGAAAAAAAAACTGTGTGTTTGGGTCCTTTGAGCTTTCTTCTGCGGCGGCAGTCGGCCACACAGGACCCTGATTTTTGTTTTAATGAGCTTTTGAAAATAATTTTGACGGATGGCCGATATTGACAAAGTTGAACATATCGGTCGGCCTTCACTCATAGATGCTTCAATGCATTTGTATGTGTAAATCATCAAGGTGCAGGAAAAGCATGCAAACTTGTGCAGAAAGTGCTTGAATTTAATGTTTGATGTCACACGGGCTGATGGTAGTAAGTCCACTTTACTGTGTTGTACTCAGAAAAGGTGTCAAACTCTATTTCTACAAACTGGGACCTTTCAGGGCCCTATTTATGGATAAAATAGTAATTTTTTATTCTGCACGGAAACACACATCATAATGAACCTTTAAGGTTTATTGAGGTTTAGTGACCTGCATCCATTCGTCATGTTACGTTTACTGGATTTTTTTCTTTTATCTAATGCTATAGTTTGATAAAAACTTTCTTAAATTTAGCCTTTAAAGTAAAGTTTTCACTCAAAAATGACTTCTAATATCAACCAGGGTGCGTTAAACCCACGGATAAAAGTTTTAAGAATGACTAACACTTGTGAGTTTGTCTTAATTTAGCTTTTCTTAAAAACTGCACTGAAATAGTTTGAATGTCATAAAAAGTAATTCTATCATCTTCGTAAACCTTAATAAACAGTAATGATTTTTTTTTCTGTCTGTGTTTTCCTAGATAGGGAAGTTCAGTCAAGTTCTCCATGAATGTACGTCACAATGATGATGACAGACCAGATTCCACTGGACTTGGCTCCGCCCCCCATCCTGAACGGGGAGGTCCCTCTCATGCCTCACATGGTTAATGGTGATGCAGCACAACAGGTATGGCATTTCACATGCACCAGCACACAAACTTATGTTGGGATTACTACGGCTCTTTTCGTTGTTGCTGTTTCATCACGAGTCTCATGGGTTGTTGCTGCTGGTTATCAAACAACTGTTAAAGAGCAAGTCACCCCCAAATCAACTATTTTTTCTGATAAACTATATAAATGCGTGTCTAATCGTGCTGCAGACACGTGTAGTCAATAGTTTTGCACTTTAGTGCATTTTAGTTTAAATTTTAATTTTCTGCCTAAAACTGTCGGCCTTGTGCCGTTGTCAGATAAAAACTCTGCACTGCATTTGAATTTAAATCTGCCATTGCTATTGGCTAAGAGGTACCCTAGAACGTTAGCTGGTACCATATGATGTCACAATGTCGTTGTGAGCCTGTGTGTGTGTGTTAGCGGCTCCGCCCTCTCGGTCTGCTAGGCAAATGCATTTGTTGCATTTTTCAAACAGGAAGTGGGAGTGGAGTAATACTCTGGTAGGGTGTGACTTGCTCTTTAAGTTCTCAAGAAATGAAATGTGAGACCAAGAATAAGCATCCAGAGGGATAAAAGCATGTTGAATATTCCCACATGACCACCGGAGGTCTAACCTTCAGTCTGAGATCTGCGCAGGAAGGAATCATGTTAATTAAAACCACAGAATTTAATTCAGTTAAACTGAATTATTTTCTAAATTTTGTTACTTTTGTTGTTGAGAAATGAGTGTTTATGTGTCATTCTTGTTCCGTTCCCTCACAGCCCAGAGGAAGTGTGTTGGGAGTGTTTTGGCTGCAACACCTTAGAGTTATAGGGGTTTGGCTCGAGTACACAGCAGTTAGGGAGCTCTTTTTTATTGTAACACCCGGCAGTTTAAACTTGGTTCCCAATGTGGAATCACAAAACTAGACGGATGATTATACACATTTGACTCAGCGTATTTGGGTTCAAATTGTGTGTGTGTGTGTGTGTGTCCTGCCCTCTTAGCGTCTGTGTGGGCACACTGGTGTCGGTGTTGAGTCTAGTGTTTGTCTGCTTGCTTGTCCATCAGCTGTCCTCTTGATCCGTGTGTTCCTGCCTACATCTTTCTAACTCCCGCTGAAGGAGGGAAAAAGATTCTAGCGGCGCACGGTTCTATAACAACCGCTGAATATATGAAATGCACTCTCACAGAGAGCCAAAACGGCCAGCCCTTTGTGGTGCAACAATGTGAAAATAAAGATTGAGCTATTTTTGCCCTCTTTTACTCAATTCACTATGAGTTAGGATGCACTCTGATCATTGAGTAAAATAAATGAGTGGAGGGTCACAGTAAAAGGGAAAGCTGTCTTAGCTTTCCTTGGTTCTGGAGTAATCGCCCTGTTTGTTTCAGTTGTAGAAATGTTGCACAACCCCACAGATTTCAAATGTTAGTTCACACCTCTGTGATTTTAATTGTTTTTTAATTAGAAAAAAGAATCAGGTGAGCATTTTTAACGAACATTTTTAAAGTGCTAATGTTAATTTAAACTCCAATAAAACCAAAAATTGTGTTAAAAAATGAGAGTAATACGTTTATATTGGAGCTGAAACTCTTGGATGTGTATAAAGTCGTTACTCGTGACTCATTTTTGACAGATGAAAACCACAGTTTCAATATCATCTAGCCTCCCCACGATGAACCTCCATCTAAATAAGTATTGTACTTCCTGCTCAATAATCAGCAGCTGCATGATCAGATTCATCGAGTAGCTCTAAAGAAGATGGCACAGATAAAACGATCAATGTTGTCTGTAATTTGTGTTTCTTTAAATACCGGCTTTCACGTTGTTTCTGTTTAATCTCCTGAGACCTGAGCCTGTATTTGATGTGATTTAAAAGAAAAAATAATAGTTTACTCTCATTAACAGAAACAAAATTACAAACATTAAAATAAAATGAAAATTAAATTTAATTAAAAAATTGTCAAATTTCCTATGAAAATGAAAAATTTTTAAAGTCAATATCATGCGTCTATAAATAATAACAAAAAGGTCTAAGGTGAAGACGATACAATTTTAAAAGTGCAAGGAGCCAATGCACATATGTGGACACAGGACCTTAGGAGGCTAAAAGTAGATAGGATCAAAATCAGAACATTACAAACGTCGACCTGTTGGGACGGGTCACAAAGTGAATGTTAAATTAATTTTGGGGCATTTTGATGTAGAGATTGACCGATATGGTTTGTCTATTGCAGACACTGATGCTGATATGTAGCGGTCATGGCCAGCCGATGGCCAATACGTGCTGCTGATTTTTATGGGCCAATTTCCGTGGCTGATATCTAGATGTTTTCCACCTCATCTACAGGGTAAAATGGCACTAATATCAACAGTGTAAACACAACATTTCCGAATTTAACCAACTAAATCTTAATTCTGTGAACTGAATTAAAATCAATAAACTGACCAAATAATAGTAAATGTCAGTTGACAAAAATGTTTTAGAGCATTCACTCATTCACTGCCAGCGTTTTTCAGCGTTTTTACAGTTTTTTTAAGAGTCACAGAACGTTGTGCGCTATGATGATGTCAACGCCAAAACTACCAAAACAAAGAGTAGACTCACCTCTTACATCAGAAAGAATCTGCGTGTTTCGATTGTTATCCGTTCTTTCATAATCCGTTGTCGAATTATGATCGGCAGAAGCTTTACCGGTTCGCACCTCACTTTTTTTACAGCAGCGACCAAAACAATCTCCTAACACATGGATTTTCTGCTTCCTGATCATGTGACGTGTGACGTATGCGGATGAAGATCGGCTTTAGAGCTGGGATTTTGCTCTCACGGTGCGGGGGCTCGTTCCGACGCCCACACAGTAAAAACATGCAAATGACGACTTCAGTCATCAATGGCAGTGAATGAATTAATTAAGCAGGTGATTTTCATGAAGGTAAATATACATTTACAGCACCAGGCTGTCCGCAGATGTACCCGACTTTAAATCACCTCTACTAAAAAGGTATATCAGCTGATTCTCACATATAGAGAAAATGGTAAATATCAGCCCAATATATCTGCGCAATATATCTGGTGTATCCCTATTTTGAAGTCTGTTTCTGTGTAAAAGTTAGAAATAACAACAATCTTAAAGGGACTTTATGGAGTTTTGAATTTTTATGCTCGCGATTGCCCCCTCAGGCCAAAAGCGTAACAGCAGCTTCAGTAGTAGGCTCGTGCACGAGGCGCGCATGCTGTACGTGCACACTCCTTAACGAAAATAACAGCTGAGACAGTCCCGTGTGTGTGTGTGTGGGGCCCGGAGGACAGAGGACAGGAGAACGTGCAGCTAATTAATTAAATAATTTGGTTCCATACCTTTCTCTTCAGCACACAAATGTTTATGATGGGTCAGTCCTCCTGCATGCTCAGATCATGCCCTTCGCTTGCTTGAAAAATTGTTCCAAAATGAAGTTGAACCCACATCTTTTTTATCTGTGAATTCAATGCCGTTCGGCGAGTCTCAAATAAAAATTTGGGCATCTTGCTGTAAAAAAATATACCATTAATGTAAAAAATAAACTCTAAATTAACTATGTTCCCATCCAGAATCGAACCCGGGTCTCCCACATGGGAGTCCGCCATCTTATAGACCCTTTTACTGTTTGTAAACAATATGACGTCAGCGAGAATGCGCACGCAGCTTGGCAACAGAGAATGGCGTTGTTTCAGGCTTTATCAAGCTACGCTGTGGGGTTATCACTGGCAAATCTTGAATGTTACATTATTAAACTCACTTTAACGAATGGCAACAGACTCCCGGATCCCTGTGGCATTACGGAATGGGTGGAAGATGTAGGTGCGTGGCCAGATATCCAGTGGCCCGATATATATACGTTTTTAGTGGAGAGGCCCAGTAAGTACACACGTGAGAAGCTACGGGCATACAAATCGTTAGATGCATACAACTATGTTGTCTGTGGCCACGTACAGAAAGTAAAACATCACGACATAGACTCTGAGTTTTGCTTCTTGAAGGCAGAAGTCCTTCCTAGCCAAAGACAAGGACACAAGACTGCTATGTACGAGGCTTGGGTCATAGTAAACAAACCAGAGAACTACGTCTTCACAGCCAACTTTACCTGCATGGCAGGGTCAGTATAGCATAGGTTTCTTTTTTTAGCATGCTCAGAGTACAATCGTGTTAATTTTAGAGAAATACAGTTTATACTAATATGCAGTGGGAAAATACAAATGAATTAGAATGAAATGTTAATTTGAAGCATGAAATAAAGCGTATAAATTTATATGTAACCTTAGTACATAATTACCTTACCTAATATAAAATGGGCGCTACAACTCGAGCATTTCGGATCGTGTTTTCCGTCCAGTTTTCATCAACCCTTTTGATGGCCTGCAGCCACAGACGCCTCCGATTTTGTTGAAATGGATGTGCTCCCTTCGGAATTCTGTAAAGTTTCAGTCCACTGCTTGAAGAGAAGCGATTCTGGCATCCATACACGCAACAACCCGACATTTTTATGTGCTCAGAACTTCAAAACAAAGGGTTTAAAACGCTGTTTTAGTATCGAGTGTGAATGAGGAAGCCTTCACGATCGTTGCCAGGCTGAGCGCGCAACTTTTGATGACGTAGGTAGTAATAGGGTCTATTGAGTGAGCTATAGGACAAGTGATGTCATTTTGTATCTGTAACTTTTATATCCTTGATGACAGCTGAAACAACGATCAAAGAATGGTTCAGAGCGAAAATGGCTATTTTGTTGCTAATTTGCAGGAAATATCTAGAAGAAAGTAGCTAAGCGTCCTCAGAAATGTAGCTAGGATCATCACTAGGCGTTAGGAACAGCGACAAAGTCGCTGAGTTGGCACTACCTCACTCTCTGCTGCTAAAGCTACTGATAGCAAATGCTACGGGCGACGCTTGAGCGTGAACACGCATGATGCAGCCTGCTCGACCCGAGCCGCTCTCTTTTTCTGTGATTTTACAGAAAAACAGGCAATCACAGTAAAAATGCCAGGGCTCATTCTACAGGACCAGGGCATTGCAGGAGAATGTATGAAGAAGACATTTATTATTTCTATACATGTTTTGGCTGTCAAACTTCCATAATGCCCCTTTAAAAAGCTGCTCAATTACCGAAACAAATCACATTTCAGTTCATTTTAGTCAATATTGAAATTGAGGTATTTTTAATTGATTTCTCATTTAGTTTTCACCTAAATGTATTTTTATGTTGGATTAATTACATTTCAACAAAGAAAAGTCGTGAATATTGACACAAATACAGTAAATCCTTAATTAGGAAGGGCATTTCAGACAGGTGAACAGTTATTTCCCCAGGCTCTAGATGTTCAGGATGCTGCAGTATCACCTCTCCTTCAGTGCACCAGCAGTCACCGGTGAAAAGGTTTATAGAATAATGTTTCTAAAGAGTGATGTACTGCCTGTTTTCTGGCTAGCTGTTAGCTTATCAGTCCTGTTTTTTTTTCACCTAACGGGCTTTCTATAAAGGATTAGAGTAACTTCTTCACAGAAACACACCTAAAAATGTCTTAAACCTCTTTAGAATGAGCTCTGTGATTAGCCAAATTGTGTGTTACCCATCAGTTCAGATTAAAACACAATCCTGTATTCTTCCTAATTCAATCAGTTTAATCAGGGCTTCAGGAAGGCACAATCCCAGCGGTTTTAACCTGTCAGGGTAGTGAGAGCAGTTGTTTTAAATGTAGCAAAAGTTGTGTGTAATACACCAAAACATGCTCTAGTTTTTACAGAGGTGTGATACATTTATGCTGATTTAAGGAGGCGCTCCTCTACTGTCATCAACATGGGCTCATGTAGGGGTTTTCTCAGCCCTTGGGTCGCCCTGTACTATGCTGTGGTTCCCATAGCAACAGCAGCCGCTGCAGCAGACAGAGCAGGAAATGTGTGTATGTGTGCGCGCGCGTGTGTTTGTGTGTAAGGGAGAGGAGCATGTTAGTGCTGAGATGGATGAAGATGCAGAGACTACATGAGGAACTGGAGATATGAGGCTCTTGGAACAGCTCACCTGTGGAGTATAGACAGTGGTGCTTGTGTGTGCATGCATGTCCTTGTGTACGGCTGTGCGTGCGTGTGTGTGTGCAATGGAGGGTCATCTGTTTCAGGTCTACAGCCACGTGTACACTCTCAACAATTTGTTCACGGAGAATATGACGGTAAGGTGCATGTCCTCTCTTCAGGCGTAGTCAGGAGAAAAGGTGCAAGAAATGCAAAAGAGTCATGGATTTTGTTTTCATTGGTGTGTGTGTGTGTGTGTGTGTGTGTGTGTATTCTACAATCTGACAGTCACCATTTCATTTCTCCTCAATAGTTTCTAATCAGAAAATGTAACCTTTTGAATATTTTGTGACATATTCTCATTTAACAGGATTTGTTCTTGATAACTGTGTTATTTTTGTGTTTTCGTGTGTGTTTGCACAGGTGATTCTTGTGCAAGTGAACCCAGGGGAGACGTTTACCATCCGGGCAGAGGACGGCTCACTGCAATGCATCCAGGGTCAGTTCTCTCTCACGTGATCATAATAACATTGTAGTAGGGGGTGGGGTTGGACACTACCCACATGTGGCACGGAACATTTGTTGTAATTTTATTTTGGTGCAGGCCACTCATGCACATTCAGGAGATTAGTAGAAATGTGCTAATTTCAAGAAGAATCCTATTAATTTGGGGTGCATGATAAATTAAACATTGATTGTTATTGCACTGTTCGTGTGCACACTATTACTAGACTGCATGTCTATGACGCACAAACCCAGATCAGTGGCATATAGGGCTGCACAGTATCGATTTATTGATGCATTTATTAATGTTGCTACATCAACAAGAGACGTTGGACACACACACATACACACACCCACACACACACACACACACACACACACACACACACACACACACACACACACACACACACACACACACACACACACACACACACACACACACACACACGAGACACACACCAGCATTGTAAAGACGAAATACGTTTGAAATAAGATGAATCAGCACTTCACTGGATATCTACAGTAGGAAAATGGAAAGTGTTAGCCCAGTGATGACAAAGAAATGTTGGTTTATTACAACTGATGTGTCTCGATATTCTGTTATTTTGCATATTTCTTTAATGTTTAGCTCTGACATAGAATTTAAAAAGGATTAGAACTAAAACAAACCTGTTCTAAATAGAAAATAAACCACATTTATAGACGTTTCATCTTCAGTGATTTAAAACTAGAGATGCACAAAACATTTGCTAGTGATTGGAGTCGGCCAACAAGTGATATACAGCTTGGTGTTGTTGAGTTTTCTTTGTTTCTGGCGGTGTTCCTGGTTCGTGAGCACACTGTTGTTGTTAATTCATGCATAGCAGTAACATACCTTCCAAATGGAGGTTTTGACTCAAATTTAGTACAGTTTTCAAGTCATCAGTCGTCAGATTTACAGAAAGTTTAGATTTTTAGTTCTTGAAGGTAAATTGGAATAAACAGCTCAGAACTGTACAAGAATCAGAAATCGGTATTGGTTATCAAAATCTGAATCAGTGCACCAGTGACAGAAACAATATGTCATTGAAGATTCAAGAGATTAAAAAAAAAATGTGTTGATGTGCTGTAATGAAAGGAGTCTTTAAGGCTTTTTTCATTCACAAAACTGCTTCATGGTCATTTACATTTCATTCATCCTAATTGCGTCATTAGCTTTCTGTTAATCATTTAAGAAGAGAAAGCGTGGAATTCTCAGCTTTTCAGTTCAGTATTGATCCACGGGTTCAGCAGATTTCTCATGACATTATAATTATTACATTGAGGAAAGGTGAAAACGACCCATTTAAAAGTTTTTATGCTGCCGTGAGAATGTCCCTAAAGCCTTCAAGGGGATTAGTCATTAACAAAATCTAATGTGGAGGCAAAGGAAAGGAAAAGAAAGGAAAGAGATGGCTTAGCATGTATGGGTAATCTCTACATTTAAAAATGAGCACTTTGATGATAGATTTACTCAGTGACAAACTACAGTAGCATTCTGGTTGCATCTGATACCCTTAAATACAGAAGGAGGTGGCAGCAACATGGGATTTCCCCCAACTCCTCTGGATTTGTCTCACTTTGATGATGTCAGAGAGTGTAAGCTGTTACTTTTAAAGGATGCCTTTGTTTTCTGCACAATCTCCCTCCTTCTGTTGGTCTCAGTCCTCTTCCTCCTTTGGCCTCAGAGTAGAGTGAAAGCACTTTTGGCCAGACACAACCTGCCACCCACCCCCCCTGCCATCACAGCATTCTGTGTTGTGGCAAATAACAGCTTACCTCCTCCTTACCTCCACCCGCTATGTAATTCAATTTTTCTGTGAAATCAGAGGGATTGCTGCAGGCAAACCCTCGGGCAGAGATCCAGACAGAAACAACACAGAAGGACGGATGGGTATGAGGATGTGCATGCACAATTGACACATAATACATAGATGTGATTAAATGACTCGTAGAGGGATGACAGAATGGTTTATTGCAAACAATGAATAAAAGAAATGTAGATAGTCACTATACTGTACATATACCTTGTAGAATGCAAGAAAGAGCTATCTAAATACAGGCCATTTACCATTATTAGTGGCTATTACTGTCAATTTTATAGATATTGAGCTACAATTTGGTGTGTTCAAAGCTGAGAGTCATCGTTATTCCACTTACTTATGAAGCTGCAGTCATTATTAATATAAAGGCACACAAACCATCTTTCCTTCCAACTCTTTTTGTGAGAGAGGTCACAGGGTTTTTATGAGAAATGGAGTTTGGCGCCTTTTTGAAGAACTGCTGCTCTTTAGACAGTCTCAGTCTGATTACTGAGACCTCAGAGCTCGGTGTTTGCGCAGTCTTGTGTACTCATAAGCCTGGGTGTGTGTTTGCACTTCAGCCTGCTAGGGTGCAAGTGTGTGTGACTTTACAGAGGGAGGTTAGAGAGACCTCCGTGGACAGCCAGGTTTTGCTATAAAGTATTCTCTGTTTAGCCGCTGCACTGCGGTGCATATGTGCAAACACACAGACAAACAGCACTCTGCCAAAGCAGCCTCCGGCAGGAAGAGGTGGGGACAGCGAGAAAGGAGATTATTTTATTTCAGCTTTTGATCACCCCTCTCTAAATATCTTCAAATCCTTAGAGTTCACAAACTCTCACAGATCAGGAGTTTAAAAGCAGAAGACTTGTTCATAGTTTCCCTAAAATACTTATTGTATTTTGATGCTCCTCTCTTACGGGGTGTTTCTTTTCTTTTCTTTCTTCTTTTTTTTGCATCAAATTAGTTAATCTCATCCCTTCCTGTATCAGTCTGTTAATTAGCATGGTCTCTGCATGTGTCTGCGTGTCTCTGTGTACTGTTTAAACACACTGACCTGCCATTGCTCCTGGGGTCAGCCTCAACTAAACTCCTACACACACACACACGCGCGCACACACACACACACACACACACACACACACACACACACACACACACACACACACACACACTCTCACACACACACACACACACACACACACACACACACACACACACACACACACACTCCCAGTCTCTTGCCAGTGCCCCTCTCCCCACTTCATCCTTTTCTGTCCCCCCACCCTTCCCCCTCTCCCTCCCCCTCCCAGACCATTCCCCTGAGCTTTCCCACACTCACATCAAAGGACAAGACTTCGGAGGGTGTGTTAGAGCACCCTGCTCTGGAATTTCAGTGTGTTGCCACTGCGCTTGCCTGTGTGTGTTTGCGTCTGTGTGTGTTTTACAAGGTCGTGTTAGTTTACCGTGTTGTTTGGTCTTTGTCGAGCTTTTATGGGGGATGATAAGGCCAGGTGGGGGTGGGATGGTGAGCATGAAGATGCATCCTGCTTGGCAAGATGTGATGTCATGAAGCTTTCGTGGTGGCAACTCCAACTTTTCATGCATTTTGCACATCCCTTAATAATAATAATAATAGTAATAATAATAATAATAATAATAATAATAATAATAATAATAATAATAAAGCATTGATTTATAGGCGCCTTTCAAAACCCAAGGTCGCCTAACAAAACGTGATAAAACATAAGCAAAAATAAGAATAAGATAATTTAAACAGTAGAATTATAAAGAATTTACTATAAATTACAGAGTGGAGAGTTTGTGGACTAGAGAGAGTAAGCCAGTTTGAACAGGTGAGTTTTGAGTTTGGATTTAAATGAGAGGAGGGAGTCTGTGTTTCGGATGTCAGGAGGAAGTGAGTTCCAGAGTAGAGCGACTGAAAGCTCTGTTTCCAACGGTGGTGAGACGAGCAGGAGGAACCACAAGGTGAATGGAAGAGGAAGACCCGAGGGAGCGAGATGGGACCGCAACATGGATGAGATCAGAGAGGTAAGGAGGGGAAGAGACAGTGGATACATTTGTAGGTGAGAAGCAAGATTTTGAAGGAGATTCTGTGTTCAGTGGGCAGTTGAAGAACAGGGCTGATGGAATCTCTGGAGGGGGTACGAGGGATGATCCGTGCAGCAGCATTTTGGAGAAGCTGGAGCCAATGAAGGGATTTATAGGGGAGACCAAAAAGGAGAGAGTTACAGTAATCAGTTCTGGAAGTGACTAGGCTGTGTATGAGGATGGCTGTAGCATGAGGAGTGAGAGCGGGGCGGAGTCGTTTGATGTTGCGTAAATGAAGTAGGCTGAGCGATTGATGTTGTTGATGTGGGCTTTGAATGATCGAGTGCTGTCAAGGATGACACCCAGACACTTTACATGGGGGGAAGGAAGGATGGAGGAATTATTTATGTTAATTGATATGCTGGGAGATTTGTTCAAAGTGGAGGGTTTCTTTATGAGTAGAATTTCAGTTTTATTGCTGTTGAGTTCCATGATTTTATCTCAAGGAGACAGCTGGACAGGGAGGCTGTAGGGAAGATTGCATCGGGTTGAGAGGAGATATAGACCTGGGTGTCATCTGCGTAGCAGTGGAAATTTATCTTGTATTTGTGAAAGATTTGGCCAAGTGGAAGAATGTAGATGATGAATAAGAGAGGTCCAAGTACAGAGCCCTGGGGAACACCAGCAGAAAATAGTTTAAAATTATGGCATTTGATTAATATAATTTAGTCTATATTTGCTTCACCTTCACCACAGTGGGAAACATGGTCTTGTTTCTGCTGCAGTCCTGCAGGCTTAGGTCATTTTTTTCTGGCAGCTCACACTGACTTGAGTTACACACATGCTGAACAACATATATGTGTGTAACTAAACCAGAGCAGAGTGAGAACGAGCGTCTGGTTTGTATTTACCAGCAGATGCATTCAGTTTGCACACTTTCCCTCCCTTGTTCTGGCCAGACCTTGTCTGGGTGTATCCCAGTTGTTATATCTTCTCATGTCTCCCACAACAGAGCAACTGTTACTGTTGTTGGAGATATCCCAGGGATGCTTCCTGCATACAATCACTTTGATAAGACTTTTTGCGAAATCGCAATGTCTCCTGTATCAGGAAGAAACTC